TTGGTGATGGGAAGCCCACGGGGATTACAACTGAGATGGAAAAGGCACAAAATGATGTACAAATAAACTATTATATTATTTAAAAATTTTTAAATTTTATTTATTTATGAATACCAGAACTGGAGTGAAGGCCAGAGGTGTGGGAAGTGGTGAGAGAATACACCGGAGACAAAGTGGGGAGCAGAGCACGCAGGTTGACTGAATCAGCTCCCTGGCCTGGGATTGGACTCTTGCTGCAATGGCTGGTGATGGCTTGATAGCACTGAGATTTAACCCCTGTGCTAGCAGGGAAGTCCTTTATTTGCATTTAATTGTGCAATCTATTTACATATTTAGTAATCTAAAAGCAACACACTTTGGAGAATTTTGTCAACTTCCTAAATTAAAACATAGAAGAAAAAAGTGTATATACATCATTCAAATTTACTCTCCCTTCTTTCCACATATATTTGGTCAGAGTGGTAAGATCGCAACTCCAGTGTGGGGTCAGTGCTGCTGGAACTGGATCTGTTAAAGTGTCATTCATGCATGGGACAGAGGGCCAGACACAGGACTGCGGGTGTCACTGTAAAAATTAAGAAAAAGAAACTTGAGGTTTCTCAATGCATTTTTTTCAGTGAGTGAACATCCAGTGGTCTTCTGAATACATATTCTGTTTTGAAGACATTATTCCCAACTTTTGGAACATCTACTGATTCTAGGATTGCTTATCTAATAGTAGGAAACTCCTGTCCAAATAGCAACTAATATGAAACCAAAAAATCTTTTTGGTACTTAGGTTATTAAAATAAGAAAGAATAGATAGTGTGGACTTTAGAAGTGATTCTGTTTCATAGCAGCTTCTGAAATTGTTTAATGTCTCTTCATCTTCTCTGAACTTTATTTACTTGTAAAGCAAATGAACTTGGCTTTAAAAATTTGGGAAAGGTCCATGTTCTAGAACTTGGGAACATTTCATTGTGCTTTAGACCCAGCTGTGCCCCTGAGTCCATATGACCTTCAGTACTGCCCTTTGCAGCTCTGAAAATCAAGTTTTTTTCTCAGGAGGTGTTGGGAGGGGTAGGTTGTATTCTAAAGAAAAATATAAATGGGGACTATGTTGAAGAAAAGGGACACATTCTATTTTTCACCTATTTTCCTGTTGTTGATTTTTCCCCAGCCACCAGAAGAAATCTATTCCATAGGGGATGCAGTCTTAATTCATTTTCACACTGATGACACAATCAACAAGAAAGGATTTCATATAAGATACAAAAGCATCAGACATGCAGATATGCATACCAAAAAATAACACCAAGACCTCCACCAGAACACAGAGGGACGTGCATAATGGAGAGAAGACATATATTTTTTAAACTGAAGAATATTCGCACAAATGTTTTATATAATGAGTTTGAGCAGAAGAAAGCTGTAAAACCAGAATTATCTCTGTACTAAAAGAGAAGTTTCCAGCTAACCCTGATCAGCATTACCAGGATATATGAACCCCATGGTTGATGGTAGCTAAAGCTGGAGAAAGGGCATCACATCTCCAAGGAAGACGCCATAAGCTTTGTCTGACAACTTGACATAGATTCCTTGCAATGTGGACAGGATCTTTGACCCCGTAGAAAGTTCCTTTGGACAAGTTTTCAAGATTTGAGGGACATAAAATAATCTTGCAAGTCATAAACTGGAAAACCCTCTTCTTCTATCTTAGGATAATTGCATTGGCTTTGTATCTTGGATACACTGTAAATCAGATCCACAGAAGGTGTTGTGAAGTGGGAGTCTTTTGAAAGTGGTGTGAGCTTTAAATGTGGTTGTGTCTGATGTTTGGAAACTGGAATAGCTCAGCTTCATTGTTTTCACTAGCAGGCCAGATTAACCTCTTTGAAACACCAATGATCTTGAGACAACTTAATTTTATCAATGTTTTGACAGATTTGAATTGTCAGTAGTGTCAGTGATTGCTGTTTAACTCAATGTCATTTATTTAAGTGCTGGAAAACTCCCCATTGATTGATATACGCAGTTCCTTCTATGGAAGTGCTACTTTTTCACACCAACTCTGAGAAGCCTTGTGATGTCTTAGGAACTGATGAGAAAACAGGTGTGAACAGGATTCGTCTAAGTGACTGCCTGGATGGTTCATACTCAAGTCACCGCTGCTGCTATTGTCTTTCTTTTGTTGTTCTGTTAGTTGTTATTGTTCATGTTGTCATGGTTAATGTTGTATTTAAAAAATAATGAAATGAAGCAGAAAGAGGCCTTGTAAGAGTTGAAAGATCTCTTTATTTCTCTTTCTGGATCCACTTTAAAAAATGCAGTGTTGGAAAAATGGATTCGTTTCTGAAAGACTTTCTATGGTGCTATTCCATTAACCTTTTTTTTTTAAACAAAGTTTTTGAACTTTGAGCCAAACACCTGTAGACTATGAATGTCTCCCTATATCTGGCTGGTGGTATTTGAAGACTTCAGTCTTGCTGAGGGTATCAAGGTCATATATTATTACAAGGACAGGATGTGGCCTATGGAACAACTACTTACAATGCCTTAGAATTCTTGCACATGATCAAACAGATCTTCCTAGGAACACACCTTTTGAAATGTTGAACATAACAGCCTATGTTAATTCACAGGTCTATAAGGAAACTACATTTCTGTTTTTGAGAACAATGGGTCTAAATATGGTGACCTGCTTTTATTGTAGAAAATGAATTTTCTGCTTTAAAGTCATGTGTGCGTTTAATATTATTGTGTATCTACTGTGAGAGTGTCTGTGTGAATGAAGCTACAAGAAGGTGAAACATAGGAGGTGATGGAAAGGTTAAAATTTATGTGCCAAGTTCTATTAGAATCCTGTTTAAAACAGCACCTTTCTTAGAAGGTTTCATGGACAAATAATAGGAACTTCTAATTATTACCAATCCCATCTTAAAAAGGCTCCTTCCTTTAGAGAATCTTTTTTTTTTATGTTGGTGGAGTTTGCTGTATGACATAATTCTGTTTCTATTACCTGTCCATGAACACTCAATGTTTAATAAAATTGGGGATTTTTCATCATTTTCACATTAAGCTATACACACAGAAGTAGTTTTTTGTTTATTTTTTTTGTCATTGTTACCCTGAACACTCTTTCTCGCATATGAATTTAAATGTAAATACATTTTTAAAACAAATCTTCTCATCTTTTAGAATGTTACCTTGGAAGTAGCTAATGATTGTTTGTAATATCATGAGCTCTGGAATGCAGCTGACTTATTCCAGTAACTTCTTTTTTTTATGCTATCAAATTAGCTAAAACATCAGAAATAGGAAAGAGAAGAGGCAAAAAAGTATACTCCCTATTGTTCCATTATTATGCCTCAAATGCAGGCTTGCTTTCTTTCAAAACATTGTATGTGCCCTCTGAGGATTGCAGTGATGGCCCCATTTGTGGGCTGGCTGCTAAGACTCAAAGAAGGAGGGAAGCCCATTCCCAGGATCCTTAGAGGTTGAGAACCAACAAGTGCAGCAAAATCTGTACTTGTTCTACCAAACGTAATCAAACTTCCTGTAAATACTAGATATATTTTATGATGAAACTTCCACAAGAAGTAAATTTTAAGGACTAGTCACAGTGAAAGGTTCAAGATGTACCTCTTGTCCTTTCTGGAACAGCAAGATAATTTGAATATCAAATGTAGATAGATTTAGGAACCACAGTTAGTCCTAGGAACTTCAAAACAAAAACTACTTTATAGTTTGGGGTTAGAAACGATAGGCCTCTGGTTCAAGTAAATATGTTAAGTTATTTTATCTGGTATGGTAGGGGAATGCAATGTTCTACTTCAAGAAATATTCTGGAGATTCAGGTTGACATCTTTTTAGACTGTTCTACACAACTGAGAAAAAAAGTAAAGAAGTTATTAGAAGGCACATAGAGTACTGTTGTTATTCTAAGTCTTCAATGTGAACATGAATTTTTATTGTATCCTATGCAGATAGTAATTTACTGCATATTATTTTTACGTTAACTCAATTCTGGCTTAAATGTGTTGTTAAATGCAAATACAAATAGCCACATTGTGATTTTAATCATTGCTACTATTCTAGGCATTTTATTAAATTAATTTTCTAAATTATTTTCAACCCTATGTTAGTATATTGGTCGTGTTCTCTACTTACCAAATTTCTGACTACTGTATAATTCTTGCTAATATGCACAGAAAAAAATTGTTCCCACCTAGTATGGTTTTATTAAATTATTTAAAAAATCATTTGAATACTAATTTAGTTTATTAAGGAAATCATGACTTTACAGATCATCACTTTTAAAGAAAAAGCAATTATGTTTTCAAATCCCACAATGTCCCCTACCTGTATTGTCTGGATTTTTACTGTCTAGGACTGATTTTAATATTTAACAGTATCAGAAACAAATTCTATAGTTAGGTTTTAAAATATCCTTGTCTCTTTGTTTTGGTTTCAGTTATTGCCATATTTTTCATGGTAAACTTCAATTATGAAAATTTGTTCTCCCATATAGAAAATCTAAAAAAATCTAACAACTATTATTGTTAGGGTAGAGGTAATTAAAAGTATTAAATTGCCTACTTAGATTAAGTAAACTATAGTCATATATGTACTAAAAATAACTTACTTAAAGCATTTATCAGAATGTTTAGAAATTTTATTTAGTGGTACTGCGAATGAGTTGCTTTTTTTTGGAAAAAAAATTTTTTTTGATGCTACTTGTTAAACCTGGCATGGGAGGAAGAAAGAATTGCAACTCTGTCTTCTATTTTATAGGACAAAAAAATTATATGTGCTTATAAAAACAAAAACAATACTATTTTATGAATGAATTTAACTTCTTTGGGCTTCAGTGCATAGTAAGTGGTTATCATGGAATGTTACTTTTATTGTTACTGCTACAAAATCAAGAAACTTAGTCATTAGCTTAGGAAACACTTGATGGAAAGTTTGAATCATATACATTGATGTTTGGTTTCCAACTTTTGTTTTTTCATTCTCCACTCTTCAACCTGCCCACCTTTGTTCGCTCTGTCTATTCACTTTAATCTTAGCTCACCACGCAACTCCCACCTGGTGCAGAGACCAATGCAGGTGACTTCAAGGAGATAAGACTGAGCACATCTAAATGCTCCCTCTCCCACAGTATTTTAAATTAAAAAAGCACTTTGGTGATAACTCTTGAAAGGTGGGGTCTCTAATCCCAAAATACAAACCAGGATAATACAATTTTTAAAAAGTACAGCAAATATCAACTTCTCACTTTGGAAGAACTGTGAGCAGAAATTTGTTTGAGGCCGATGAAGAAGTCACCTAGGAAGACAATTTAAGAAGTATAGAAAAAACGTCCTGTCAGGTATGTTTTTCCCTCCCCCCCTTCTTTGATGGAGGTAGTGAGTAAATAATGAATTTCTTGGTGTTCTTAACAACTTCACCAATCCTGTTTACTCTGCCACCCAGGCAATCTATTATCCCCAGAGACAATGTTCATAAAATATGTCACAATAAAAGAAAAATGACAGTGTAAAGAGTAATTCAAAGTAACAAGTGACTCAATTAGGCTCTCGAACTTTGGAAACTGTAATTACCACATATACAGTACCATTATAAAGAGCAAATAAGTAGAAAAGATATAGCGGCTAACAAAGTACTGGGTAGGCTTTATTCAAATAAAGCTTTGGAAGTTCTAGCCAGAGAAATTAGTCAACAAAAACAGATTAAAAAAGCATCCAAATCAGAAAAGATGTAAAAGTCTCCTTATTTGCAGATAGGTTATTGTATGTAAAACTACTAAAGACTACCATGAGAACTGTTAGAACTAATAAATTATTTCAGTATATATATATTTAAAGATATATTTATTTGTGCATACAGAGCTGGGGTACAGGGGCCGTGAGAGGATTCACCAGAAACAGTGGGGAGTAGATCAGGCTGACTGAAGTAGTACATTGCTGAGGGGAGCAGCGGGCAGGTCAGGAGAGGTCTGCTGCGCCATGTGGGTCACCTCCTGGGGTGGGGATTGAACTCATGCCTAAGTGGCTTTTGCTTGTTAGTGCTGTGCTTTAATCCGCTGCACCACCAGGGAGGCCCCTGATTTCAGTAAATTTATGGGATGCACAATTAGTATACAAAATTTAATTTCTATACATTAACAGGACTCAGAAATTAAGAACATAATGCCACATGTAATTGTATATATATAAAAAACAATGTAAATACTTAAAATTAAATCTAACTAATGAGGTGAAAGATAAGTACACTGAAAACATTAAGCCAATGATGAGAAAAACTGAAGAGGATAACAATAAGAGGGAAGATTTTTATGCTTACGAATTGGAAGATTTAATAAAATGTCCATACTGCTCAAACCATTATGTAGGTTAAGTTCAAATACTACAATTCAAAATTCACAGAAATAAGGTGACTTTTAAAAAAAAGAACATAATTAACATAATTCTCTTTTGAAGGATCAAATGTTCTGCAGGAAAAAATATTTCTTTGAGATGAACCAACACCCTATTTTCTGCTTTCCTATATAGGAATCAGCTCATTCTTGGTCAGGGTGAGGAGCTGTGAATCCATATAGATCGACTAGTAGTCTTTGCCAAAATATATTTGAAAGTAAATTCTTGAACTGATAATTCAATCAAATATCTATTTGACTATAGGGAAATTGGAAATTTTGAAAAATCCTTTTTTTTTTTTGAGAGTCACAAGAAATTTATAAACTTAAAATCACTATTGTATGTTAAAGGAGAAAGTAAATGGTGTTACTAAAAACAAAATAAGAGTTAGAAAAATCTGATCAGTGCCAGAAGGTAATTGTTAATACAGGTAACAACTGTTTACTCGATCCATTAGTGACATATGAAATACTGACAATTCAACTCTAGAAGTGAGGATGCATTTAAAGTAGTTTTAAGTTTAGTTTTTTCACAAAGCATTGTCCTAATTTCAAGGACAGAGTACTATGAAACTGACAATATTGTAGATAATTCTTTTTTATTTCACATATTTTACTGCCATTTTAAATTTAATGAAGTGTGAGGAAGGTGGTTCAAATATCAGATGTTACAAAATATTCCTGTTAGCATGTTATCCATGAAAACTAAAGATAATCATTTATGCTATAATTGCCTTCAAGTACTCTGAGGATAGAGGGAAAATAAATCAAATTTAACTATATTAAGGTTTAGTGATAGAGATTTTATTGTAAGATAATGTATTTTTGAAAGTGCTACAGGAGAGGTTTGGAAAATTACACAGAATTTCCTTCTTTGTACTACCAATATTTGCCATGCTAATTGCATTAATCTTATACTGAATAAATCTTCCTGTGCAGGATTTAGAGATTTTTGAAAAGAAGTAATAGATTTTATTCATTGGTACCTAACTTACTAGCATTTACAAGAACTGTATGATAAAAGGACTCCTATATATATTGGTTGCATTGAATTGGAAAGGCACTGAATTAAATTGAATTACTTGGTGTATTAAAAATTATTCAGAAGATGAATATTTGTCATTTGAAGATTTAGTACTTTTTTTAGGTAACACTAATATAAAATTAATAACAATGTACCTAATACAAGAATGGGTTTACCACTTATAACAGTGAACAAAGAAGATATTATGTTTTTAAATATTTAGGTTAGTTATTTTACACAAATGTGAGATCATTTCTGTTAAAAAGACACTTTTCTCTATTTCTATTTTTTAAGTTATAAGTAGGCAAATATCCGAGATTGTGTATAAAGCAAGGTTAATAAATTTGACTTTCAGTGAAAATTAGGAAAATTTATTTTATTTTTTTAAGTAAATTTTTATCTTCCTTTAAGCTGTGTGAATGAAAAGTTTCTTTTTAAATCTCTTTCAGCCATTAAAAAGGGCTTGTTTACCAACCTCTTTTAATGAATGCAAAAGGTTTGCTTTATAAAGGTGAGTGAAACTAAATTCTACATATTTTATTTCCATTTATTTTTTTCTCCAAAACAAGTTCCTTTTTTTCCTTTAATATTCCTGGCAGAAATTGATAAGGAACTCAGTGGAAACCTTTGAAGAGTTAGGGAATTTGACAT